TTGTGCTGATGCTACACTCTGTGCATTTTTGTGCACAGATAAGGGAGCAGCTTACGGACCACAGCAGTAGGACTTCTGGGAGCTATTTTCAGTCCAGGGACTCTCGAGGTAGCCTAGCTGGCGTTCGCAGACCGAAGCCCCTTTCCATGTTTTTCGTTTTTTCATCTTGTATTCGACAAACATGATGTATTTCCTTTCAGACATTGTTTGTAGTATCCTGTAGTAGTCCGTGAGCTAGTGACACCAGACCTTGGGTAGTGATGTGTATTAAACTTCCGCACTTTTGGTTTTCAGTTGCTTTAGATTTAAAGTCTTCCGCTTAAATTTTGTCTCGTTTATTATATTGTTTGAAAGAAAGCAGGAAAGGTGTTTTAAATATTTGGTTTGCCTAGCTCCGATAGTAGGTGCCATCACAACACCCGATGGTGGGAAATCCGGGTTGTGACATAGTGTTTATATATATATAATGGGTATTAAAATTGTTCTATAGAAGCTTTTACATGGATGCATGCACTTGCATGAACTCAATTTTATACTAATTTATTTATAATATGGACACGCTCGGCGTAAGTAGGATCAGTGATAGAAGTTACATTCAGGAAATTCAAAATATAAAAAAGTAAACACACGATCGGATGATCTACCTTGCACCTCCACCAGCTCCACACTGAGTAGGACAAAAACATGTAGGAGGTAATAATCTTCAGAGTGAGAGAATAATTTCATTTGATATTACTACCTTACTTGCTATTTTTACTCAAATTGAAGTCATGTCCTTTTCTATGTTTTGAGAAAAGCTATGTATTCTTAGGTGTTGTGAAAGAAGAACCGAGCTAGCTTTTTAAACCCAAAAAGATGTCAACTTAATTCAAGAGAAAGATGTTTAGGATATGGTCAAAAATAAATATCGAATATTAATTTTAACTTGAGGATGTTTTAGATCATGATATTCCCGAGCAATAGCATATGAATTGCTCCTATGAGAAATATATTTGTGTGGTTCGATGCTGAATAAGCTCGTGTTCAGATAAAAGTGTTGAAATTGACAATAATAGTTAATATATTTATAAAAACTAGTGATAAGCTATTCTTTTGGTAAAATAACTAAAATAACCCTTAATTTTTTATTGAAAGAAATGAATTTAAAAGTATCTTTCTAAGGAAAAGGAGGAACTACAGATACAAAATTAAGAATAAGTTAGAAATTTTCTATTGAGAAGATACTTTGAGAATTTAGAAAATAAGGATAAAAAAGTAAATATTTTATTAAAATTAAAAATGCTTATAAGTTGAATGACAGATTTTGGATTCTAATCAATTGACTAATAAGCACTTCAATATTTATCAAATATGGAGATAAGCTAAAAGATATTTATAGTGCTTATAAGCTTATCCAAATACTCTCTAAATTACTTGTAATTGGGATAAGATATGCTTCTATTTTTACATAAATTAACACTTTCACTTTCTAAAATTTTATGGTTCATTCTATACGAGAAATATAAAATTAACCTATTAGAATGAAATTGTAACCTTATTTAGACGTGAGGATCTACAACCTTATAGATATGTATTTATTATATACATATATGGTGTTGTGGGAAATAATATACTCTAGTAAATAGCTTATTTCTATCACTACCAAAAAGGAACGATATTTGTGACTTGTGAGGAGAATTTGCCATAATTTCTTTTTTTTTTTTGGTAGAAAATAAAATCTTTATTTAATCATCCCAAAAACACACATATACAATTTCACTTCTCCTATCCTTCTAATATTTCATACCTTCACTATATTTCAATCTATCATCTCCCTGTACAAAATGTTTCTGTTCCTATCTATATAACTTTTCAAACCAGCTCATATTTCCCTTGCTTTTCTTCTTCTGTATTATCTCCAAGCATCTGTATTTGCATGCATGTTGAATCTGTTCTAACACTACTTGTGGTCGAGGTACTCTTTTCCTCCATATAGATTCATTCCTGGCTTTCCATATATGATATATGACTGCTGCCAGAACTGCTTTCGTAAATGATCTTTCAATTTTCCCTTTTGCAATTCTAGTCATCCTTCTCCATATCCCTGTCACTTCCATGTTCTGTATATTCATCCCAAGCCATTTTAACACTTCAGCCAAACACAATCTTGAGTATGTGCATTCAAAGAACAAATGTTCAATGGATTCTGTGTTTCCTACGCATAGCATGCAGTCACTATCTTCAGTTATTTTCATTTTCAGTGTTCTATCTTTTGTCAGAAGTTTCTTCCTCATCACAAGCCAACTGATGAAGCTGTGTTTAAGAACATTCATTTTATTCCACACTCCTCTGTACCAAGGCCATTCATCTAGCCTTCCTCTTCTCCAATTATAGCCACTCTTGATTGTGTACTTCCTTGTCCTCGATTGCCAGCCATTTCCTATGTATCCAGTTACATACGTCACGGATGTCACAAATTTTCCTCCAGTACCAGCAGCTGTCTTTTGAGGGCTTGTGCTGCCACCAATCTTCTCCCTTTAGATAGATGTGGTTGATCCATTTCACCCACAAGTTGTCTTCTTTGTTTGCTATATTCCACACATATTTTGCCATCACAGCTTCATTCCATTTTATACATTCCCTTATACCTAAACCTCCTTCATTTTTTGGCCTACACACAAGGTCCCAAGCCACAAGTGGTACCTCATTTGATATACTATTTCCAGCCCACAAGTAATTCCTGCAAATGGCTGTAATGTCTTTGAGGACCTTCTTGGGGAGTATGAAAATTGTTGTTGCCCAATATGAATGAATATTGATCAATACAGAATTAATCAATTGCACTCTCCCTGCATACGACAGATTCTTTGAGCCCCATGAGTATATTCTTATACTTAGCCTCTCCACCAACATTTCACAATCACTTGCCTTCAGTTTCCTTGCAACTATAGGAACTCCTAGGTACTTGAATGGCATAGTCCCTTTTTTGTAACCTGTTATTTCACATATGTTCTCCAAGCACTGCCTATCCATGTTTGCACTGTATACATTTGATTTTTCAGCATTAGTACTTAACCCAGAAGTATTAGAGAAAGTTTGTAACCCCCTAAACATTAGCATAATACTTTGATACTCTCCTTTACAGAACATCAATACATCATCTGCAAAGCAAAGGTGGTTTAGCTTTAATCCTTTACACTTTGTGTGGAATGCAAGCCCCTCCTGTGTAGCTACCCATTGCATAAGTCTAATGAAGTACTCCATGCATATTACAAAGATGAGTGGTGAAATAGGATCACCCTGTCTTAGGCCCCTTTTCCTCTCAATACATCCATACAACCCACCATTCAGAGCAATTGAGTACTGAGTAGTTGTCATGCACTCCATTGTCCATTTGATGAACTTTACAGGGAAGTTCAAAGCATAGAGCATTTCTTCCACAAACCCCCAATCCACAGTATCATATGCCTTCTTAAGATCTATCTTTATCAGGCAGCTTCTTGTTGATTTCTTCCTATTATACAGCTTTACAAGGTCATGACATATCAGAATGTTTTGCACTATGCTTCTGCCTTCCACAAAAGCACTCTGATTTTTCGATATTATAATTGGTAGCACACCTTTTAGCTTGTTACATAGCACCTTCGAGATGATCTTGTATATAGTATTACAGCAAGCAATTGGCCTGTAATCTCCTACATTATCTGCATGGTTGTTTTTAACAACTAGTCGAGCGTAGCAAGAATTTTGTGATGGAAGAATAGACTGTCATACATTTGTCACAAATTGATGAATTTCGTCATAAAATCGTCAAATACTTCAAAACTTCGTGATGAATATTATTTTAAGGTAAAATTTCACGTAAGAACAATTGGGCTCCTTACTTTTCAATTTTATGGCTCATATTTTAATTTACAACCAACTAGCCCAAAAATAATAGGCTAAGATTGAACAACTAACTCCAATAGATTCTAGAAATTACTATTTAATTTTTAAAAAAGATTGCTCAAGCTTTTAAGTTAGTTTTCGAATCAGTAACTGTGACTCAAATATAAGTTCAAAAACCAAATCCATTTGGGTAGTGAAAGTTAAATTTTTAACAAGTTTAAATATGTTGGTTTAAATTCCGAATTTGATTTTTTGAGAAATTTGGAGTGAGTGTTATTTAGACTTTTTAGAAATAGTATAAGGAGGTTGTATATAAAATTTAAAGTCATTTAATGGAGATTTGGACTGGTTTTGAATAAGAATTGTAACTGAAAATCGTGGAAAAAGTTCGTCTACATACGCTTGTATAAAGATGTATAAAAGTGTATAATAGTGTATAAGATGTTTATATACACTCATATACACTATTATACAAGATTATACAAAAAACTGACTTCGTCTTCTTTTTTGCGTCTTTTTTGAAATTTAACTCAAATCTTGCTCAAATCTACCTCAAATCACTTCAAATTTAAATTTTGAACTCCTTTTGATATTTTCAATCAATTGGAACAAGATCCAATCCAAACAACTAACAAACTTTAAAAAATCTTATTTTCGAAAGCAAATCTTTAAATAGCCTTCAATGGTGGACTTCTACTCTTCAATTTTCTTACATTGCAAACAGATAATACAGGGTGAGAAGCAGTAATGGCAGACGGTCCCTTAAAGTATATGTAGAAGATGTGAGAAGAAGAGAGAGTGACAACAATGGTTGTGAGAATACAAATATAACTCCATAACTTTTAGAAGTAATGGTTGTAAGAACACAGAATTTGAATTTGTTAATGTCAAAATATATACAATATGAGCTAGGTCAGGTTAAGCTTAAAAACATAGGCCATTTTTTATTATGGTATGAAGTCAAGTGTATTTTCTTATAATTCTTTCTTATTTTAACTCTAAAGATTCTTCATTTGAAATTTCTTTCACATTACTCTGTCAAACAGTTGAACTAATTTATTCTAATTTGTCATTTTTAAAGTAAAAAGCATTAATATTGAAGAAAAAACAATTCATATCGTCCCACTTTGGCCTCGAATGTAAACCAGTCCAAATCGGCCCGTCTTTTAGGTTAAAGGTGAAAAATTACGCGGGGCGCCTTATTTGGTCGCCCCCATTTAATCTATACCTATTTTTTTTAAAAGTTTTAACTTACATCTACTTTTTAAATAACTTCAGCCCCCTTTCTCCCCATCCCTCGTTTTCTTCTTCTTCTTCTTCTTCTTCTTCTTCTTCTTCTTCTTCTTCTTCTATTGCTGTTGGTGCTGCTATGAAACTTTAGTTCATGGGATGATTGCCATAAATATGTTTATCAGACTATTTAAAAATAAATTATAAATAATTACGTAAGTTAGTAGAGAATAATTTGTGAATATTTTCATGTAATTCTGTTCTTTTCACGTTTATTGTTTCCAAAATTTATGATTTAGATATTGTTAGCAATCTGATTATTTTATAGTAGTAATACACTATGAAAGAATAAGGTGATTATTTATCTAGTATATTAGAAAGCTTTTTCAAAAACTTCAGCTTATATGTGTTGAAGTTTTTACAAATGAACCAAATAACTTCAGCATTTTCTGCTGAAGTTTTTGAAAAAGCTTAATTTATGACAAAACTAATGAATCCAGGACAAAAAAACTTCAGCTTATATAATGCTGAAGTTTTTACAAATGAACTAAATAACTTCAGCATCTTTTGTTGAAGTTTTTGAAAAAGCTTATCCAGGACAAAAAAAATTCAGCTTATTTAGTGTTGAAGTTTTTACAAATGAACTAAATAACTTCATCATCTTCTGCTGAAGTTTTTGAAAAAGCTTTATGACAAAACTAATGAATCCAGGACAAAAAGACTTCAACTATTTTGGTGCTGAAATTTTTACAAATGAACTAAATAATTTCAGCATCTTATCCAAGACAAAAAAACTTCAGCGTATCGCCTTTGCTACTTCAGACCCATCTACTAGAATGCTGAAGTTTTGCATGATTGCCTTTGCTACTTCAGCCCCGTATGCTGAAGTTATGCGAAAAAGTAGGTTCGCTTGTAATTTTTTTTTTTTACAAATCGGGCACAAGTTAAAACGTGATCCAAAAAGCGGGTATAAATGCAAATCCCCCAGATTTGAATGGGGCAAGTGCACGTATAGCCATTTTCAGGGATGCTACTTATTTGTCCTGAAATTTTAAACTAAAAAATCTTAATTTCAGGATAATTCAGGACATTTTTGTCCTGAAAAATTGAACTTAAAAATTAAAATTTATGATACACTGACTAATTTCTAAATAACAGCCCTTTATAATGTCTATTTGGGTCAATTCTATGATTTGAGTTGTTGAAAAGCCTGACTACTTGATGCACAGAATCAGGAAATTATGCCGAACCCTTGTAGAACAAATTATTTATATTTTGACCCCATTAAAAAAGGTAAAATAGTCCCGAGCCAGAATTTTAAAGCACATTGCCAGAATGTTTAGTCTGACAAAGTACTTCAATATTCCAGCAATGTGCGTCAAAATTCTATTAGCGCCTCTTTTTTTTTTTTTTTTTTTTTTTTTTTTTAACAAGATCAAAATATATACAGTGGTACTAAATAGTTCTATTTGTGCAAATTCCCCTCAGGAGTCAGGAAATTGAACATGATGGGCCCAGCGCCCCGCTTTGCCAAATTACGATTAGAATTGAGAAGTTTCAGCTTTTAAGATCACAAGTTTTAAAAGTTTTTTTTTAGATTTTGTGCCTAGTCAAACTACCTCATCTAAATTAAAACGGAGAAAGTATCACAATAGAGTAAAAATATTACGAAATGTTCTATATCTTTGAAATACACTAACTTATAGTAGTAGTTTCTAGTAATAATCTATGTAAAAGTTAACTAAACATATTCATAAGGGGAATAACTTATGCAAAAGAGAAATAAATAAATAAATAAATATCAAAATCATGGGACGCCATGCAAATATACACGTCAACTCTATCTGCGGTGGATGCATCTTTTTGGTACTACATTATAACATATGAAGTGTGCAAATTGTTGCACATCAAGCTAAGAGGCAGTAGCGGAGTCATAAATTTGAATGAGATTCAAAAAATATGAAAATATCACACCTTAAATATGAACATGTTAGATTAGTTAGTATTTGATAGGAGTATTTGAGAAGAATTTATTTTGTCCCTCTTTGAAAAAGAAAAAAAAGGAAGAAGTGCACTTCTTTGTCTTATATAGTTTGACTATTTAAAAGGATGTTTTGGAGGGAAATTAGAAATTTGACTATATTATTAATAGTAAAGATTAGGCACTTGAACACTGGACACTTGAGCCAATTAAGTAGCCTGGAATCAATATTTT